ATCTTTCTATATCAACCGCCGGAGGAAGAAACACCTTTGGCCATGAGGAGCTATTCGTGTCTCCTCAGATCCGGCAACTCTGAGCTAGCACTTACTCGTCAGGGTTACTGTTGCTCTATTAACTACTCCAGTTTGCCCCCGTCAGCATCTGATGTTTAGCAGCATTAAAAAATATCTAATTCTCCATTTTATTACCAATTGGCTGAATACCCACATCCAAAGACCTGATCTGTAAGGGAATGGACCCGATAAATGCTCCATCATCTCCCAGTGTACATTTCTGATGGATGGATCGACATATCTCAGCACACTCCCATCGTCGATTGCCATTACGAATCACATTGTTCACCCCCTTATGACTTCTTAATCTAACAATCGTATTGCCAGTTTAGAGCCCACTCTATATCCCGTCCATCCTGCGTCATAAGTAATAAAAAACTTCTAGCGCGTGCTCATCAGATTCCTGCCGCAATGAGGGCCGATTCGGAGGCAAGTAGAATTCTGGCTAACACCACACACTAAGCCCGAATCATTCCGAATCTCGGGTTGCACGGAATAACGCTCATTTGCTCGCCCAGACTAACCCGTCTAAAGCGCGACTCTCCTAGATGCACCATACTTATTCTCTCTCTGGCACGATCGCCAGAAGACATTGATAATACGTTGCGTGAAGAAAATGACCCCACTATGAATGCATTCATTGAGTCTCCACAACATAATTGGGTCTGCAGCTTAGAGAGATGAGAAATATTAACTACCGTCTGAAACAGTACAGTCTGAGCCTCTTCGGCCATCTTCCATATTCGCCCAGAAACAAAGCGAACTTCCCTCACTTTACACATGAGCGCATCTGTATATGCTTGCCCAGATGCGGTAACATCCACAATACGAGACGCTTTCTGACTGTATGAGACAATTTGCGCACAGTAGGAGTACAGATGAAATGCGACTATACCATCAGAAGCGCCCATCTGTCTCTTTCGGCATGTGCGAATTACAGATAGGACAGCCCTCTCCAAATACTCGGGAATGTCTGATGAAGAGCTAACAACAAGCAGAACTGCGAGGAACTGTATATTTTGCAGAGATTCCTTCTCTATACTTAATGAGGCATGTAATACTTCTCTCTCCTACACATTTTTCTGCTATGGCACCAGGCCATACAGCCCTGTCTCCTATATTCTAACTAGCAGCTGCACCTACTCATGTTTCACCACCCTACCGGAGAAAAAGTAAATTGTTAACGTGACAGGCTCACGCCGCCGAGGGATCCTCGTTGCGCCACATGGCCCTCTGGTGGTGGCAACACCCTCGCCAGATACAATTGTGTTCGATGAGTATGTTGACACCCCAGCGCACAATTGCAACACTGCTTCCATGGACTTAAATTCCCCTACAAGTCTCGTATCTTGCGCGCGTACACTCGGTCAACTCGTATCTTCAACCCACGCGCGTCATACATAATGTCGTCCCCCAACCCACAATTACCAATCGGACAATCTCTATATGACTCTACCCTGCGAGTCGCCTCCTACTGTGACACCGCCTACGTGAAGCGCGCAAATTATAGATTGACTCCAAGCCCAGTTTCAAGTAACAATAGATAGCTCGAGGAATTCTCTCCTCGTCATTAACCAAATACCAGTAACTTTTTACTCAACCACGTGTCAAAATATTCACTGGTACATCTGCATTGGAACTCCGAATAGAATTTAAGCTGGAGGCAGTTCGCCAAAGAAGACATCGAGAAAGCACTTACACACCTTGATGCACTGTGTAAGGTCAAATAATAGTCGTTTTAAAGGTCGACCGTTTCACTGCACTTCTTCGAGTTCACAAGAGTCGTATACTTGCCACAGAACTCATACACGTCATAAGAGTGATCCGCCTTTCCATACGTTGCTTTTTCACAATGCGACCTTGCGTGCGATGTCCGATGACACCTTAATGAGCCACGTTTTGAGCGGTAGTGCAATAGAAGCGCTCAACGCTTTCTCACTACAGAGCGATGATCGCTTAAGAACTTAAGCCAGCTCTAAAGGGGACCACAAAGAATCATGCGCGACACGTACTGATTATAATCAGTTACTAAATCTCGTCTAGTATTCGGTTCCCACGTACGCTCGAGTTATTTAGTGAAATATAGAACTCTTTAATACACACTTTGCAGAAATTCTCATCATCTCAGTCTGCCTT